CATTGAGCGAGTTTAGTCAGGGTCAACTTATCATAAAATTATACATGATTAATAAACACTGAACATTCAGTGATAAGGGCCTTCCCACTCAAGCTCAAGGCAAGAAAAATATTAACATGTTCATATATTGAATATGCACTACTGTTAAAAGGTTTGGGGTCAGAAAGATTTTTGATAACATTTTACATTAGTTAAACTAGCAATGAACAATACTTCTAATACATTTAATTAATTTTACTTAATGTCAATCTCAACATTTATTAATAAAGTTTTAAGTTCAAAAGTCGTATCTGTTCACATTAGTTAATGCCCAGTGAACTGTAACATTCAAATGAGCAACTAACATTAACAAAGGTTGATGAATGACATCAAATATATTGCTCATTGTTAATTAATGCATTAACTAATGTTAACAAATTAGACTATACTGTAAAGTGTTCCTAGATTGTTTTGAAAGAAGTCCCTTTTGCTCAATAAGGCAACATTTATTTGATCAAAAATACAGTAAAAACATGTTATGCAACTGTTATTGTAATTATATTGTAATGTTATGTAAAAACATTTTATGTAATTGGTTAGAATAAACTGTGGTGAATAAACAACGACATTTTTGAATGAATTTAAAAGACTGAAATTATAAGTCATTTAGTGTTAATGTTCCTAAATTATGGAACTCATTACCCCTTACTCTCCGTACCATCCCATCTTTGTCTGCTTTCAAGAGTCAGTTAAAAACATATCCGTTTAAAATGTACTTTGGATAATGGCTATATGTTGTATGTGTGTTTATATTGTATTTGTGTCCATATTGCTTGTGTGGATGTACAAAACTACTTGTTAAGCGACCTTGAGCTACAGAAAGGCGCTATATAAATAAAACTTCTTCTTCTTCTATAAGTTAAATATCCATTCTAGCACTGATTTTAAATAAATTCATACTTTATTTAGCAAATACACATTGATCACAACTGATCAAGAAGACATTTATAATGTTTATATAATATTTTAATTTCAAATAAATGCTGTTCCTTTGAACTTACTATTCATTAAAGGATCCTGAAAAACAGCACAACTGCTTTCAACATTGATACTAATAAGTAATCTTTCTCGAGCACCAAATTAGCATGTTAGAATGGTTTCTGAATGATCATGCGACACTAAAGGCTGCTGAAAATTAAGCTTTGCCATCACAGAAATAAATGACACTTTAAAATGTATTAACATGGAAAACAGTTATAATATTTCACAATATTAAAATCTTTACAGTATTTTTTATCAAATAAATGCATCCTCATAAGAGACTTCTTTCAAAAACATTAAACATTTTTTTACCAACCCCAAACCTTTGAATGGTAGTGTATGCAAACAACCAAATTAACCGAAATGAACCTGCAACTAAGACAGACAAAAATATTATAACGTCAAAGAAATTACATTAATCACAAATAGCACCTTATAACGTAGCAGCTAATACCTCACAAACATACACGCACACATATACGCTTCAGCACATTAACGCCGCTGCAGCCTTGTGTGTGGGAAAGGTGTTTGAGCTGTCATTAAAGCACCATTAAACTTCTTTTCCCATCTGACAGACAGCATAATCGTTCGATCACGTGTCCTCGGCTCTCATCACCATAAAGCTGCTGTTTTGTAATAGAAAGGCGGTTTCAGAGCACTGGAAATAGCAGCATGATTGCAATAATCTGTTTGATTAACATGGCTGGCTGCTGCACACGCACTCCTGCAGTCATCCGTTCACACACACACACACACACACACACACACATCCAGCTGGGAGAAGCGAATCCAACGGTGAATCCGTGACCTTTGAACTCGCATTGATCGCAAGTCTAGAGGCCGAGGAGTTTTTTATTCTCGTTCCTGCCGACAGCGCATGACGATGGTGTTGCCAAGGAGACGCCTGACTCACTGTGTGATAATGAGCGGCGTAGCAGGTGTGTGTGTGGGACAGGAAAGCACGTGTCAGGACAGGCTGAGCTAATAGCAGGCCACTTGAGATGGGTTACATAACAATGCTGTGACTGCTGCAGTACCTGCTCACACTCTCTTTCCAGCAGCCTGTGAGTGATAATCACACACACACACACACACACACACCTGCTTTAATGTAAACTTGCAGTTGAAACTCTGTGCTGCACTCTTCTCTTTGAATACAAGCAGAGAAGCTACGGTGAGCTGGTTTGCAGAGATTTGCATTAGTTGTGTTTTCAGGTGACTACACACACACACACACTTCATTTAAAAGCCAGACTGTAGTATTTTGCATTCAGTTACTGTTTCCTGCCGCCTGCTATACTACAAAAGCTGAAGATCCTTATATGAGACAGAACAAGCTAAACAAGTGTTATTTATGTTTCGCCCATGCCTCATCTCTCCCATCTCAGCTTTAATGAGGGCCCTTTTGTTTGCAGCAACTCACAGTAATTAGTTAATATAGTACTAATAGAACTCTATGTGTCATCAGTAGGGCTGCATGGTATCTGGGCCTGCAGAAAGCTCTGTAGATTTCCACACAATACAAACACCGGTCTACTAACATGCCATTTTATTGGCCAGGCTGATAAAATGGGCAACCTTTGGCCCTTTTCAGCTTATCAGCATCTGCCACTAACAGTGCACTTAGATTTTTTTTGTTTTACATTCATATTTTTATTCAGCAAGGATGCAATAAACTGATCAAAAGTGACAGTAAAGACATTTATAATGTTATAAAGATTTTTATTTGAAATCAGTTGTTATTTTCGAACTTTCTATTCATTAAAGAATCCTGAAAAAATACGCATCATGGTTTTTATTAAAATATTTAGCAGTAAAACTCTTTTCAACATTGATAATAATGTTTCTTGAGTACCAAATCAGCATATTTGAATGATTTCTGAAGGGTCATGTGACACTGAAGATTGAAGGAATGGCTGCGGAGAATTCAGTTTGGCCATGACAGGAATACATTTAAAATATATTAAAATGTTATTTTATTTGTTAATTGTAAGACTATTTCACAATTTTCACCTTTTTTATTAATATTTTCATTTAAATGCAGCCTTGGTGAGCTTAAGAGACTTTAAAAAAAAACATTAAAAGTTTGACACCAAACGTCTGAACGTATATTAGTGTATATGCACTGCCAATCATATGTTTGAAGTCATGGCACATAAACATTCTCATTCTTTTTTTACATTTTAGAATAACAGATAAATAGTAACGTCATAAAAACTTTAAAATAACACAAGTAAAAGTATGGCAATTATGTGTAGTTATCAATAATGTTACCATTACTAATAAAGTAACCATTATATTTTCTCTTAATTTCTTCATGTGGTCCTGGGATGCTTTTTAAGCAGCAGTACCCATGGCAGTTTTTTTTGCCACAAAATTTTATGTATGTAAATACAATCGAAATTGTGCAAATTCTATTTGGGCCTAGTCATTTAAATCAGTCTTCTTGTGCAATATTCATTATTGCACAAAACATAACAGGTGTCCTATAGGAAACCACACAGACTCCTGTTCTTCTCTCCTCCGCTATGAACATTAGCCCCACTTGTCACATTATCATAGAGAGGAAGCACTTTTAATAAGGGTTCTAATTACTACACTACTTTCAGTATACTCTGTGAGATACCAGCAGAAACAGAAGGTCACACACATATATAAACAAACAAATGAGTGCGCACACACACACACACACACACACACACACACACACACAACCTTAAAGACCAACTTAACCCCTTAACTGTCACCCCCCATTTTTAAAAATAGGCATGAAAGTGCACTATCCAAACTTAAATTGTTGTAATTTATGAACACTTTGGAATACAGACACAAGGTTGGTCTCTTTTTAAAGAAGAAAATCAGCAGATTATTTCCATCAAGGGAGTCTTTCTCTTATTTTAAGGAAGTTCACTGTCTCCTTTTACTGGTGCCCACTGAAGACACTCTGCTCCAAGTCAGAGACAGAGATATAAACACACACACACACACACACACACACACACACACACACACACACAAACACACACACAAACACACACACAAACACTTTCCCAGCGAGTCCTTGGTTTGTCACTGCTAACAATGTCAAAAATGACAATGCAAACAAGAATCCAGTTATATTATGTTCACTGTACCATTAAGTGTTTTAATATTTATAAACGTATTATTCATGAATTAATGACAAAGTTGACACATTCTTAATTAATTACTCATGAATTACAACTTGAGTAAAAACAAGACAGTCAAATGATGTCAGACATATTGGCACAGACATAACTGACTGAGACGAAACAAACAACATTCCTGAAATTAAGTCAGCTGATTAACATACAGTGGACTCCAAAAAAGTATTTGGACATTTAAAATGTCTGAATTTCACTGCATTACATAAGAAAATTATGTAATTCAAATGATGCTTTTCTTATAACTACATTTTTTTTAGACTTTTTGCATTTATGTACTATATGAAAGCTTTTTTTCTGCCACAGAACAAAAAATATAAAAGGCAATTATGACTTTTTATCTCACAATACTGACTTTGTTTCAAAACTACAAATTTATACATCACAATCACAAGTTATACACCGAGTTTACATCTCACAATTCTGACTTTCTGACTACATCTCACAACTCAAGAATTGAGAGTTTAAGCTGGATTTACATCTCACAATTTTGACCATTCTCGCAATCAAACTGCAGTCTTAATTTGGACTTCTCCAAATTGCACATTTATCTCAGAATTGCGGTTCTAAGTTTATTTCACAATTCTGACTTTTTTTCACGTGGTGGAAACAAGCTTCCCTATTTACGTTTAACCAACTGGTGTGGTAAGTAATAGTTGATGCAAGAAAACAGGTTCACACAGGTGTTCCATCAGAGTAAACACAGATCACATTAACTATGAACATGACAACCAGAACGTGACCAAATACATTTTAGGGGTCAATGTATCATAGCACCAAATGTGGTGATGAACTAACCTTAATCATTTGGGCTACGTAGCTCTCGGGGCCCGTGTACTCGGTGGGGTCCTTCACCTTCACCAAGACTAGGAAGTACAAATAGTGCCACATGTTGTGCTCGGACTTGATGTGCTCCTCAAACGACACGGTCTTGTTATCAAACTTGTCTCTCTCAAGGCCTAAAGATGAGCAGATAATAAAAATGAAAGGTTCTTCAAAGAAAGAACCCACTCTGTCTATCAAAATCAATTGTTTTATTCATGGTATCCCACTTTTTATAGTCACTATAAAACTTTCTCTCACATCAGTTATACTCTAACATAGACTTTATGCCCTACTTAGTGGAGTAAATGTCACCATGATCATAGTTGAATCCATCAAATAAAAAGCCCTGTCACAGACCTCAAATACAAATTCAAAGGCAGGCAGAGTAACAGAATGTGACAGGGCATGACATCTGCTTAGTCGCCCCACTGGCTAGTTCCAAGCCATTCTAAGATGTTTGCTGCTGTGCAGATGTTGAAAAGTGCTGTTTTAAAAGGGCTATATTCTACACTTTTGTAGCATTTAATTTTTTGCATTAAAAAACATTAATTTACTGGACAATTTTCTGCCCTCACTCCGTCCCTTATGAATACGAGTTTTTGCTACTGTAACTTTAAAATCACTTCTGCATGTGGAAGAGACTGAAATCTTACACTTCAGCATAGCACTCAACTTATTCAAGGATTCCCAAAATTTTTGACCAATTTGACTTTTCAAATTGATATTCCAGTCATTTGTAATAACAGGATAATGATTTTTTAAAATATTTTAATTCATACCAATTTCCTAAAGAATCATACCAAGATTCACTGATTCAGTGGAAAGATTCAATTGAAAAAAATGAATCTTTTGATGTTTTCAATAATCCCATACCTGCAATTCATTTTGATTCACGTGGAAATTCAGCTAGATATCTTTGTGTTTTACAGCAAGGATCACTGTTATAATTGGCTAACCTCTGTTAACTAATCCTGTTTCTCAAAATATGTTCCCTTCAAACAAGACATACCACAAATGAAGCAGGTCGTCTTCAGAATTTCTTCCTTTCTCTGTTTCTCACTCCTCAGGTCAGCGAAAGTGTCAATGATCACACCAAAGATGAGGTTCAACACAATAATGATGACAATGAAGAAGAACAAGAGGTCATACACGACACGTGCCGGGAACATGGGCTCCTGAGGAGCAACAGTAAGGGAGTTATAAATGGAGATATATATATACTGACACTATACTTTATATACTGTGTTTTATCTCTAAAAGCAATTTTTACAAAAAAGCTGGCGTGGCTGATTTTGCAACGCTTCAAAGCATAAAGACAGATGCTCAGAGAGAGTAGAACCGAATGCAGGTGTCTGTAAAAGCATGATGTACAGATGCCTGCAGATTCCACAGCTTTAAACATGGATTATACTGACAGTATTAGTGACGCTGGAAAGGATTTATTGGCGTATCTCATGTCTGAGTGTGCTGTGTTGATGATATTCTGTTCACCTCTTTGGAGAGCTTGCGCAGAACATCTGCGATTCCTCCTCCGTTCCTCAGGCCGTGGTTCAGAACCGTAATGATGCACATCAGCAGGGTGTCACAAACGCGCTCTGTACCATCTTCATCCTCTTCTTCCACTGGGATGAATATACACACAAAAATATACAGGCACTGATAAAAAAAAAACTGTTTCAAACATTTGTGACTATGTATATATTCAGATTTAAGGCTTTATATTCAGGATTTTTACTTATAAGCAGCAGTTTAGATGTATTATTATCTATTCAGAATATTAACTATAAATATTCAGAATTGTATCTCCCATATTTATTTATTTATATATATATATATATATATATATGGATGTCTAAAATGTTTACATATGTATTTACATATATGTACATAATCTATTCAGAACTCTAACTATACATTCTGTATAATTACACATTTTCTATATATGTAGATATATAATTATCTATTCAGATTTAGAATATATATATATTCAGGATTTTTAGTACTTGTTTATTTAAACGTATTTAAATTCATATTATTATAAAACAATCATAAAATCATAAATAATCATGTATTTATAATCATAACTATATAATTATGATTCTTACTATACATAATTAACAATTTCACAATTCTTTACATATTTAGATATATAGTCTATTCAGAACTATAACTATATTCAGGATATTTAATCATGTTCTATATATTTAGATGTGTAATTATCTATTCATATTATATATTTAGAATTTTTACTTATACATTTATTTTGTAAATACATTTGATATATTTGTTTGAGTCAATCAATCAATTCATCAATCATTCCATCCCTCTATTTCTATTAAATGCAAATTAGAGATTTCAGAGATTTTCACAAGTGGACTCCACTGTATATGCAAATAGTGTATATATATCAACCCTCTATGCACACCTTGGCAATATAATCGCCATTGGCTAGTTTAATTGAGGTTGGAGCTAAACTCTTCAGGACACCGGCCCTCCAGGACCGAGTTTGGGCACCCCTGGTATACACTATAATATATATAAATATAAAGAAAAAACAGAGACTAAGAAAAGACACAAAACAAGAAAGACGGAGATCAAAAGAATGAGCATGGAAAGGTAAGTAAGGAATAAGTGAAGGACAGAGAGACCACAGAGGTCAAAAGAAAGAAAGAGGGTGAGCGTGTGAGAGAGAAAGAGCACGCATGTGTTGATATCTAGAAGAACAGGTGATATTTAAAGACTCACAGGGCAAAGCAAAACAAAGAAGCACATGAGTCATCTCCTCAACACACATACACACACTCTCACGGGTCATCTCAGCACCTTAACCTCTATAACAGATACTCAGGACCAGCCCTTTACAAACAAACACTTAGGAAAACCATAAACACACACGTACACGCAAATCACACGACATGTCACCACTATTGCAGATTATGCAAGAACATTCAGCTGAAGGGTGAGACGGAGGTGAAATCAAAAGAGAAACTGCAATGCTGCACAGTAAATACTGAATTATTCTTGATGTCCTTCACAAAATGACACTCAAATCAATTAAAAACTAATTAAAGTCCAAGTTTTTACAGCCTAATGATACACAAGCACAGCTGTATGGAAATCACACTGCAGAGCAGACATCATGCTTCTCAAACCATTTCAAGGTTTGGTTTATGGATCTATATAGTGAACCGTGGCCCTAAAAAGTATCACTTAAGTAACACCTAAATCACCAAAACTAAAAAAAAAAAAAAAAAAGCATGATTGTCATCACATTAAGCAAAAATATATCAAACCAAGTGGCAACTGTGTAAAAAAAAGTTTTCCTCAAAGTTAAAAACCATTTGGGTGTCCAAATAAATAAAAAAATTTAAAATTATTATTGTAAATTTAACTAAAAAGCTTTTACAAGATTCTTTTTGTGACATGTTTTGCTTGAAAAGTTTGCTATATTTCATTTTATTTCAAGGACATACGTTTTATGTGTGGCCTAAGTGTTCAGAAATTGTTTGGGGCCACTGTAAAAATGGTGACTTACCGTGGTGAGAATTAAAAGGGGAGTTAGAACAGGTCTCACTCAGGCAGTTCATAGACTCCTTCACATTCATCTTCTCTAAAAGACAAACCAAACAAATATAACATGAGTTATATACAGTTTTTTTCTTGGTAAAAATGTCAAAATCTACATTCATAGCATGTGCTTTACAATTCAAAAGTTAAACGTTTTGTATTGCCACAACTGAAATGTTTTATTAAACTGTGTGTTGTATTCTAGTGCACGCGTGTGTTTGCCCTTTCTGTCCCAGTGCTTGTACAGTGATGCAGTGCACAGAGGAAGTGATTACATCAGGGAGTGTGGCCACTGTTGGGTTATGCAGCAGGTGCCATGTGCTAGCAGGTCCTCTCTCTTACCTCAACACAGCTACATGGCCATGTGTGTTCATATAAACACATACACACAAACACAAGTAATCACCTTCACGCGTACATGAATGTACAAACTGAATACATCACTGATGTGGTAATCTCTCTAAAAGAGTAATTTTAGTGCTATTCATACCAAGTTGTTTACACATACGATATGCAGGGATGCATATTAGCACATGATATTGACTTCATTCATGCAGAACATTTGGGTAATATGAAACGAAAGACTAAAACCACAAGTTCTACATAATGTGCGGCTGGAAAGATAGGAGGCCACCACAGCAAAGAGCATAACGGGGACACCATGTACACTTCATGCTTACTTAAAGCAGGGAGGCGGTCGACTTCCATGAGGAAGTCATCTTTAAAGAAGAGGAAGCCCACAATGGAGAAGAGGTAGACCAGGATGATAGCCAGAACAGCTGTGAGGAAGATGGAGCGGCCGTTCTTCGTCACGCTCCTCATCACGTTTAGAAGCGTTTCCTCTCTTCGCACAAGATCAAACAACTAGAGGGAATAGAAGAGAGAAAGAAGAGGATATTATAAAAACATGTTGATTAGGAAATTAAATAACTATAAATAATTTATTTAAATTGTCACTGTTCTAAAGCCAAAAAGAAATGATTATTTTAGCATTAAATTGATCAAAAGTGACAGTAAAGACTTTTACATTGCTAAAAATTTTTGTTTAAAATAAATACTGTTCTTTTGAACTTTTCATTACTCAAAGAATTCTGAAAAAATGTATAACATTTTCCACAAAAATATGAAGCAAAACAACTGTTTTGAACATTAATAATAATAAGATTTTTTTCTTGAGCACCAAATTTGCATATTATGAACATTTCTGAAGAATTATGTGACACTGATGACTGGAGAAATGGAAGCTAAACATTCAGCTCTGCCATCACAGGAATAAATTACGTTTAAAAATATATTCAAATAGAACAGTTATTTTAAATATTTTACAATATTACTGTTCTTTTTTTCTGTATTAAATAAATGCAGCCTTGGTGAACATAAGAGAATATCAAAACATTAAAAAAAAATGCCAACCCCAAACTTTTGAACAGTAGTGCATACACTTTTACAGTAATAAGATTTTTTTTCTTTTGCTGTTAAAAACTAACACAGTCAATAAAATAAACTAATTGTAATTAACCTCATGATTTTTGTCCAGTTTTTAGAAGCTGGAATGAAACAATAAGTATCAGTAAAATAAAACACAATAAATGTACTAAATTATTGTATTAACTTTTTAATTCATATCCTAAGTTAACATTATAACTTTGGCAGCCATAAAAATACTCATAAAAATTTCTCTTTAAGCAAGCATCCATGGACTACACTTTTATCCTCTAAATGAAATCATTAATTTCATGTATTGCTAAAACTTATACTGGAAAATGTGTGAAGTCTTACCAGAATACTGTAGAAGAACTCGTGTACGAACAGGCCCAGCATGCAAACGATGACATAACTGACATGCAGAAGGAAGAAGACGTCCATGATAACTGCTTTGTACCCTCGTGTGAATGTGCCCTGGTTCCCCACAAAACTAACCAGGAACACGATTTTATTCAGCAGCTGTGAAAAGACATTAGAAGATAATGCTATAGCATTAGCATCCTTACAATCACATTAAAATATTAAAATGCCTTCAATTAAAGCACTCTTCTATGGAAGTCCTTTAGGATTTTTTGTAAAGGTAATTACGACTTTGTATCTTACAAATCAGACTCTTTTTCTTGCAATTACTAGTTTACATTTTACAATTCATAATTTATATCTCACATTTCTGACTTTTTTTCTCTGAATTCTGAGTTTACATCTCACAATTCTGTTTTCTGTTTCCACTAAGTTACAGAAAATATTTGATTTGTGACAAAAAGTCAAGAAAAAGGCTTCAATACTTTTGAGTCATATACTGCAGTAATTGAAACACCTAACTATATAAAGCATGCATAGTTGGGAAAATAAATAAGGTTATACATAAATAACTTCTAAATGAAAGAGAAAATGTTTCCATATCCTTTTCAGCTGACATCAAAGTAAGTGCGTCTTGGTAGAAGCTAGCATGATTAGGCAGACACCAACATGGCCAGTTGTGTGACATGCCCTCATCCTCAAAACCCTGAGCAAGTTGAAAGAAAATATAAACGAGTTCACTTGCAGTGAGGATACACAGTTTGTGGCGACCACTAGAAGACGTGGCAAGTGGCATGTAGTATAACAGATCCCAGATTCCTAGAATCTGTTTCAGCACATGTCTCTGTTGGTTCTTCATGTGGTGCCATAATGGCTGAGGAGACGCCAGCTTGAGGAGACGCAAAAAGACTGACACAACAGAGGGACGTGTCAGCAGTTTGAAGGCTGAAGCTCCAGTTGGCTGGGAGAGAGGCATGAAATCGCTCTCATTTTTTATCTGAACGCACATTAAGCACATCAGCCGCTTCTGTCATCGTAACTGACACTGATGCAAAATGGCAACACTAGTTCCTCTTCTACCATCTTTCATATTTAGCCAGATATTGAGCGGCTTCTTGTAATTAATTGGTATTAGCGATTAATCAGCGAACATGAGGTGTTAGCGGCTGGTCTTTTCTAATAGGAGTTCAGTTGGTTTATACATTCAAAATACACTTTGACATTTAATCAATTCACGAACGCAGAGTGCTGACGAGCTAAATGAAGCGTGAATGGTTGATAATGAATTTGCCTTACGTTGGCGGCCCCCAGAAGCAGCAGTGTGGGTCCTAAGCCCAGCGTGTAAATAGAACGGAAGATGACGGTGACCAGGAACGCCAGGATACCTCCACGCGGGGGAAGAACAAACAACGTGAAGGTGCTCACAACCACTGCCACCCAAAGCAAGATGGACAAGAATGGTGGCAAGACACCTGAGAGAGAGAACAAAGAACTGCATGAAAATTTTGGGGTGAACTACCACTTTAAATAATGCCATTATGTGAATATGAATTCGGTTTGATTTTTTCCCCCAAAATTTGTGTTTTCAGTTTAAATTATTCTGAATTCAGTTTTAATAGTTTAAATTTTATTAATAAAAAAGGATATCTAATCAAATTAATACATAAAATGTTAACAAAACAATAGTAGTAGTTTTAAAATTACATTGCCCAATGAAATGCGTTTAATTTTTTGTGAAATTCTGTGTTTTAATTGTTCTGGATTCTGTTTTCTGATTTAATACAAATGTATTATAAAAACATGGTAATCAAATAAAAGCATAAAACTTAAATAAACCATTTAATTAAACTTTTAAAATGTAATCATTTGTTGGCAAACAAAATTCTGCACAAAAGGTTTTAAAATTTACATTTAAACACGTATTAAAAAACAGTGGTATTCCTATAAAAATAATATTTAAAAAAATGTTCATCATTACTTTACTGTACAATATACTGTATATTTCTGTCATAATTTGTTCAAGTTAAACCAAACATTGGTGGTTTGTAATGAAGAGCTTTGAGTTTCTCCAGATTTTTGAGTTACCTCAAATTTAAATATCAGTCTTTTTGCAGTTTACTATTCACAGTGTATAGTCCTACTTATGATTTATTAATCCAAATTTGGCAAATCTTGTGAAATTCCACATTATACAATAAATTTCACTATGACTGGATTCCGTGATTCTGTCTGCATTTTCCACAGTTTGGAAACAATAGGGCCATAATTATGCAATTTGTTAATATATAAAAAAATCAAAGCCATACCTTCATCTCCATCATCTCCAAATGGGTAGAAAAGAGCGACAGCCAAGTTGATTAGCACAGCCAAGTTAAAGGAGATACTACCCCATAGAGATATATGTTTTGACACCCAGAAAAGTGGTGCATTATCTGCAAACACAAGGCAATACATCAGCATAATGACTCTGACACAGGCTCAAACTGGTGATAAATTGTTACATTGTTTTTTGCACAAAGCAAAACAACCCACTTCTTATTTTCTTCTGCCACCTCATCTCATTGTAGAGGTCATCAAACTGCTGGAAGAAGTCGTTGACCTTGCTGCCCCTTTTGGCCCTTAAAAAAAAAAAAAAAAAAAAAAAAAAAACTCTCACTAGTTGATTCGTCTACTAATAATGTCCATTAGCGGACATGTATGCATTACAGGAAAATTCTGTCATTTTTGCTCTAAACCATGACTATTTGCTCCACACTTACATTTTCACCTCATCTCAAATTATGTATTGCATTTAATAAGATTGTGTCAGAAATGTCAGAGGTGGAAATTACATTTCTGGAATAAAATGGCCTATTATTTAGTCTTGTTAAGTTTCATAGCTAGCATTTTATCAGAGCACGCCACGGAGGCAGCCATCACCGTCGGCGCCATCGTTAGAATTATGTATGCTAAATACACGATTAAGTAAAAGCAAGACTGACAGGAATTGTGGAAAGATATCCGACAGACAAAACTCACCCAAAAAATAAATAAAAAACTACCCCTTTAAATAATGTTGTTATCCAACTAAATGAGATAAATTATTCAAATAAAAGTTTTTATTAAAACTGAAAAAAAAAAAAAAGATACATTAAAAAAAAAAAAAGTCTGACTAAAAATGCATGATAAAAATTTTGACAACATAACTGGAAATAATGCACTATAAAAACAATCTTTTTTTCTTCTTTTTCTTTATATATCGTGCTTCATCTCAAGCATGCTCTTTACTGACACCGTTGTCTACTTGGTAAACAAGTATACTAACTTTTGATAAAATTTTACTATCTAATAAAGTGCAGAATTGTTTGTTGTGGATTGTTTGACATTCATAATGTTTAAATGTATAGATATAAATTACAGATACTGTATCAGTCCTAAAAATAGACCTTAATTATTTTATCAAAATAAAAATGGTTTATGTTTATTTATAAGATAATCATAGCTTCTAACATGCAATAACTAAACTTTATCATGGATTTTATAGTTCAATACTTAAAATATGGGACAATAGTACAACACTAAAATAAACATCTATACATCTGAAAAGTAGCAAAAATAAATGGAGGCATTAAAAAAAGTTTTAACGTTAGCTTCATATACTATAAAGAAAAAGCTATAAATGAATAAATATAGCTAAAAGCCAACCTCTAAGACTTTAAAGTGTTTGAAGTTGCAGCAACACCCATTAGTCTATTAGTGACACATTGGTGACTTGGCTAACACAAATCATATTAGCAATTTAGCAGTTTCATAATGCCAATGCAACCCCTGGATGAGTCAGTTCATAAGGGGTCAGGACTGATCAGTCTGATTACTTCAAAATCAAAACATTTTAAGAGCTGCCTACGCAGAGGAACTCTGATGTTTATCTCAATGACTGAATACCCGCAGCGATGTGGCCAAGATGCATTAGTGAGACAACAGCATCCAGAGACAACCTAATCAAAAACAGCGGTCTGAAAATCATTTCCAACAGATGACGGATCAAAGGGCAATGAACGAACAATGACGCTCTGCAAGATGCAAGCAATTCATTTAAGTAAAGAACCATCTCGCAGTTTATACATACAGAAGCCTGCTTAGTCTATTGAATCAAACTAGTTACCTTTCTATTAAGCAACAAGTCTGAAAGGAAGGCGGACACTCTTTAACCTCCAAAAAGGACGTGTCCTTGAGGCAAACAAGTAATCATTCCACACCCTCAGTGTCCCTTTATCACATAATGGCCTTAATGCAGTAAACGGGAGCGAGGGATTCTCACAGGCTGGAGGAGCACAAAAGATGTGCGCCACTTGAGACACCAAGAAGGTGAAATCACTTTGTCTCCTTATTGACGTCTAAGCTACGTTTGCTCCAAAAATGTTCACAGTGTCCTTTTCATTTAAGATCAAAGCTAACATCAGCAATCTGTTTATAAGAGCTGGAAGAGAGCAAGGCACGCAATAGAGAGCTAAACTGACATCAAATAAAGTCATTTACTTTGTCATGTACCAAGTAAACACAGGAGGATCTTGTATTTGGCAGCTGGTTTTTTTTAGCACTGGAGCTAACACAGTCTAAAGCAACCATGTCAACAGTGCAGAACAAATAAAAAGAAATTAAAACCACAGGAGAAATAGGACATGGGAATGTTCTTTGTGAAAACCGCTTACAGTATCATCATTCAGTTTAAAGGGGTCATATGATGCAATTTCAAGTTTTCCTTTCTCTTTGGAGTGTTACAAGCTGTCCGTGCATAGATAAGATCCCTAAAGTTGCAAAGACTAAAGTCTCAAACCCTTTATAAAAATATAAATTTTTTTATAAAGTTTATAAAAGTTCTTTATAAAAGTTACGACTTGTCCACGCCCTCCTAAAACGCCTCGTTTAAACACGCCCCCACATGTTTACGTCACATAGACACTGTCATAACACCTCCCAAATGTTTACGCAAAGAAAGAAGACGTAACTTTGATTCTCGCTGTAGTATTGTTGCTGCTGCCGCCGCCATGTTGTGGAGACGCTGTGTGTTTCGTTGTGAAAGCGAAACTACTTTGATTGGTCTTCCAAAAGAGGACACAACTAGAAATCAGTGGTTAAGTTATTTAAAACACTGTTCCAGAACAGTTCAACCCAAATATTCAGATGTGTGCAGTACATTTTACGGAGGACTGTTTCCTGAACTTGAGAGAGTAGCCTACAATGCCGGCTGTGCACAAAGGTTGCTTCTATAAAGTGGGGCAGTTCCAACTTTGCAAGGACAGTCTGACGCTTCTGACTCACAGCCTGTAAGTACGTTTTCATATTTAAAGAATTTGCCACTGACGATTCAAACGCGAGTTTTGAGCAGTGTAGAGTAGCGCTTGTTGTTTGTCGTTTCTCCGATCACAAATGCAGACATGGTTTTATGTTTACGCGGCGCGATGCAACGCAACACATAAAAAGACAGTACAAGTCATTATAATCAGTAATTATGTCCCCACTGGATGCAACAAATGACTCATTTGTAATGGGTTTTAATGGCTTTGTCTCGTCGCGCTGGGACACGGCATCACAGTATGGTTGTGGAAAATAATGTGTTTTTTGAACGTTAAACACATTGCATTACACCAAATACACAAAATAATGTTATTTTTAGCAACGTCATATGACCGTTTTTAACTTTCTGAGAGCCAAAGTAAATTTACACACATTTCTACAGGACAATCAAAAAATTAATACGGAGCTTTCTCGCAAAAACTCTAAATATGACTGGCTCTTGGTTGTGCAAAATGCTAGTTAAGTTTTTATCATGTACTCGTATCATTTTATCATGTTGCCATAATGTTTCTAGAGTATTCTGGGTGGTTGCTTACTGGAAAAAAGCAAATTCTAAGTACGAACAATTGCAATAGTGACATTTCCTTAAGCAAACACTATTAATTAAAAATAAATGTCAGTAATTAATAATAACCATTCAATCAGTGTTTAAGCATTTCTTAAATTAATTTCTGTTTATTTCTTTCTCACTGTCAGCAAGACGAGAAGATAAGGACTTATTCTTTTGACTCCCTCTCCTTCTCTCTCTGTATGACTCTTATGTCCTCAGGCCCTACTTGTTTTCTACAAGTGAGAAACTACACAGCAAAATGAGACTGACAAACATTGTGCAGATGGTCCAACTGATGCAAAACCTCCCCAACCAGATCATACAGCCATAGGCCAAAGTTTCTCAAACCGGTGTCCATATAAAATAGCCAGAGGGTCCAAGTAAAAGTCTTGAATTTTGAACAAAAATCTCACCGAAAACTATAGCAAGAGTTTGCCATGAGATACATTATTCCAGGAAAGCTAACAGCGAGAGAACTACTGTATGCACACTTGCACTTTCTTTCAGTCATCTGTGTGAGTGTGTTTGGAAAAACACAGATAGACGAACACCTGAGGTTATGTCATTATGAAAGCAGCCAGTTAGATAGAAATAAACTGTCTAGCAGATGGCTGAGCCTGTCAAGAAATCGTGTGGAAGTGAAAGCGAAGACTGAAACTGAGAAATGCACAACTGGCTTGAGGATTTCCTCACAAGAGACCTTAACCCTTCCTTAAGAAGAATTTTTCTATTTTTACAAAAATTAACTTAATATTATACTTATTATTATTAATATTATATTATACTGGATTGGCATTATTATTATTAAAGGCCTTTTTAAACAAAACTATAGGCTCAGTTGAAGGAAAACAAAGCCTCACAATGTAACACTTTTACGAGTGTAAAACCTGCATACATTTCAAACATACATTCATACATTATTTTGTTCTTTTTCCTTAAAAGGAACCTGAAAAATTCCTGTGATTAACCATGATTAGTTATTATAATCTATTATTTTTTCAGCTTTATAGATTTAATCTCATATTATACTAGATATTTGATTTAGCTTACACTGCATTTTGGAATATCATATATCGTTTAAAGAGCAGGTCATATGGGTTTTTGAAAAATATCTCTTTTGCAGTTTATAACGTAGCTATCCTTAAATAAAAACATTCTACAAAGTTGTTAATCAAAAAAGTGCATGATAAATAAAGATATTGTCTCTCAAAAGAGAGTCGATTCTGAATCGCCTTAACGAGTCGTCATATTTTCGAATCTTTTGCCTGTTACCGGTATACGTCACTGGGTAACACATTTGCATAATCCCCACCTGCCCACAAACACTTCCGCTAGTTAGTGTGTTTACATCATGTCGAGAAGAGCTTTGTGTTCAGGGATACCACAGAAATACAATTTGAACCTTTTGTTGTGTGCTCATCATTTTACGGAGGACTTCTCTAATCTTGGCTTTTATCTTCATTTGGACTAACAAGCTCTCCGAACCACAACCTGTAAGTACGATTGATACGTTATGTGCACATTTCAATTGAGTGCTCAAAATATCAAGTTTTTTTTGCTAATATGTGATGTATACTTAGTGCAGATGTAGGTTTCCAGGTAAAGCACGATATTACTGTCTTACTGAAATATTTCTGATAATTCGCTGTGAACCCACTATTTCCTAGGAATGTCTTGATTAATGTAGACTGACGTTCTAATAATTACTTTGTTTAATAATAAAGAATGTAGTGTAGCGCACAGACTTTATAATCATTGTGAAATTGCTGTTTATTTTGCTGCAGCGGCAGCTATAGGGTTAATGCGGGAGAGACGAGCGAGTTAGTTAGGCTGCTGCGCCTGTGATGTTCTGCGTTCTGATTAAAAGTTAAGACACAGAGCGTCTTTTGTCTGGCGTTCTTCAAACATTACAGTAGACATATAGCACTCGGCTAACGTATCCACCATTATTGTTTTAAGTGTTTAACGTTACAGTTTAGCAGCTAAACTTTAGCTGAGGGCACGATTCGCTTGCATAAGTGTTTTTGTATTTTATGCCATTATTTTAAGAACGGATTGGAGCACTATATTATTGTTCTATGTAAAGGTGCTTTGTCAATGGTAGTGCTCCAAATTACTGGTAGTTTATCAGTAATTTTATTGCAGTCTGAATCCAGATCGTCTGTGCTTTTCTCTCATCAACTGTGTAAAAATCCCTGGCCGAATTACCTACTGTTTTTTGACAAAAACCAAGGTTTTGTGGTAATTTAACTTCCACCCGAATCCACATCTCTGAGTTTACAAGAAGATATCAATTCAAAATTCACAGTTTAAATCCTTTTTGACCACTGCCAAACACTGTACAGTAACTACGCTGTAATTTGCATGCATATTTATTACTGAAATGCTACTAGAACAGTATATAACAACTGCACCACTACAGTGAACGGGAACTGTTAAGAACAAAAAGAAGACTGGCCACATGAGCAACATGTTCCCGGGTTCGCAGGATCTCAGAACTCACTTCTCTGTGAACAAATTGCCATCTGAATCCATGATCTTTTCAGTTTTATCACTGAGGTGCCTTGTACATTTATTTTTACAGACGTTCACATGAGAAACAATTACCATCTGAATAGGGCTTATGAGTGTCATGTACAGAAAAAATATAAACCCCACACACATTATTTCATTCACTTTACTTAAAAAATACACTGAAAATTCATGTGATGAACCACAATCAGTTGTCTACCAAATATTCAATTTTAAAGGTTTAACAAAGCCTCCTAAGTACCCTCTAACGTACATACACATACAGACCAAGGTGAGAATCACTGGTGAAGCGCACAGTGTTTTGCAGTGAGAATTAAATCTTACCTGATGGGCCAGGATGTAGATGTTGTGGCCAACATCTTTAGGTCTGGTCTGATCTGATGTCTCTTGATCAATCTCACTCTCTTCTCCTTGAACGTAAGCCTCCTTGATCACGTCAATCTATAGATGTGACACCAGATCATCACTTTAATTATGGCAAAGAACAGGCATGTTTTGGCTGATAAGAGATTATGTAAACTATATTCATTAACTATATACATAACAGCAGTACTATTGCATAATATTAGCTCACCAGTTCATTGGGTCTCATCTTGTACAGGATCTTCTCTGCATTCTCACTGTCATGACGACTTTCCATGATGGCCAGAAGAAGTTCAGATGCATTGTTCTGATTTTTCATGGTAAAGACAAGAGCATTTTTTAAATTAAATTACTGTGAAGTAAAGAATATTCGCATATTTTCCTCCTGGAGATAAATGTGCATATGCTTTTACATGCCAAATCAAAAATTTGCAATGCTTTAGAACATTCTGTTATCTGTAAAATTGCATTATACATCAATTGCTTTCTTATTCAAACTACGGGAGTAAATGCAACAAACAAGTACCTTCAGCTCCAGCACAAGGTCAAGTCGGTTCTTCCCCAGCGGATCAATTGGATTCACAATGAGAGCGATGATGATGTCAATGCCGTTTGACTCATGCCTGGCTATGCATGACTGCGGAGGAGAAAATACACAATCTATGATCCCAAACAAAGTCTTAGATATATAGAAAAGACTTCTTTTTGCATAACCATTAATAAAGCTAGAAATATGTTCAGTTATGATACCAATCTGTGGAAACAGATTTGTTCCCTTTTTCCAGTGAGCATGATGTTTCAATACCTGGTTTCTATGGCCTGGTTATAAATTATTATTATATATAATTATAGTATTTTTTTATATTTTGAACAGTTTTTATTTTTATATTTTCAGTTTTCATTTTAAGTTTTAGCAATTATTTATCTGCTTGTCATTTTTTATTTTTTTTATATTTATATTTGTTTTAGTTTTAGTAATTTTAGTACTTCAATTTAAACGTATTTTATTCCAGTTAGTTGCCAGAGCAACTTTTCTCATTTTTATTTTAATTTATTTTTAAGTTTTTCATGAAATATTTATATTTTATTTCACTTTTATTTCTACAATGTTCAATAGTCTCAGACAAAATAACAGCACTGTATGGCATTAAACTAAGATTAAAATGACTTATTATTACATCATCATTAATAATAAGTATGAACTAATGATGAGTTAAAACATATACTAATCAAAAACTAACATTAACTATGACATAATATGAATTTATGTGAGAATAATGACCACCTTGACTACATGTTTGTAAGTTATTGTATTAATTAACACTTTGGGGAAGTTTTCACACATTAATTCATATGACTCATGTCAAAGTTAAGGTTCTTGATTAGTACATGCCTTAACTCATCATTACCTCATACTTAAATCAAGTATTAGTACATATTATTCATGTACTGTTACTGTAAAGTGTTACCCTTGGATTCAGTTTTCCATGTGGAATAAGATTTGTCCATTTCAATACCTGGTTTTCGTGGCAAGGACCCTGGCAGTACTCTGTGATGGTCTCTAGTGTCTGTTTGACCAGGTCCACATTCCTCTCATTAATGTAGAGCCCCAGCAGCCCCAGTCCTCCTGTCGTACTGCCACAGATACAGTCAAGAAACTGCAGCGTCTCACACACCAGGTTATAATTGGTTTTGTTGTTCTGATCTCGCAGAAAGTTCTGTATACAAAAGAACAAAAAGATTTGGACTAACAACACAAGTCAAGTCCTGAGTGGCAGTAAATGGTATCTCTATTCAGACAGACTCGTCCATACTAGGTCGCTTGAGACTTTGATCTGCACAGCAAAAAATGTTTACTTTTCAAACATCAAGGCGCTTTTTCTTCTCACAATGGAAACACACTTATTTAAAGCCCTCTGATTTGCTGACACGGTGAAGGCAGCATCACTGGATTTGACTTCTAAGCACACCATGTACCAGTTCACATTGCGGTGTTTAACACAAGTAATACACTAAAATGATTAATAGCCAAAACAAACTACAGCTGAACAAAACCAGACTAATAAAAATGATTTGCATCACCTGCAAGTCCCTGTTATGATTCTCACAGAGCAGCTGAAGGAAACGTAAGATGGGTTTCATGATGGTGATGGCCTGGCTCATCTGGGTCTCCTCCACCACCTCCTCCATCCCATCCACTCCCGATCCCATCGGCTCTATCTCGGGGTCCACGTCCCGGCGAAAGGTGCTGTAGGCTTTGGAGGTGACCGAGGAGGCGTCTTTAAGCTGACCCCGAATGTCTTCTCTGAGGTGCAAGGAGTCTCGAACTTCATAAGACACGAGAGATTTGAGATTACTAAACTGTTATTTATAGTTCTTACTGGATCAGTGTTATTTTATTATTTACATATTTTTATAGTATTTATAAAAAAAAATTAATTAGCTTTTATATTATCAGTTTTCATTTTAATTGTAGTATTTATGTGCTTTTTATATTTATTATCTTTCTATTTAGCTTTAATGCATTTTTTCAGTTTTAGTTTTAGTAATTTTAGTACTTCTGTATGAGATGTAAACTAATATTTATGAACATTTGCAGTACATTATTTAAAATTCAACTGAAATTCTTGTTGAAGTTGTTATTCATACTAGTTACTGTTTGCACTGCTGACAAAATACATTTAGGTACAGTAATATCACACAATTAAGAGCTGTGATTCGGTCATAAGCATAATATTGATATCACTTTCATAAAATAACATGAGGTTAATATTTAAACTTTAGACAATATTGAAATTATGTCAACAGTTTCAAACAAAGCCACAGGAGAATTAATGGTTGCAGGTCTCCAATCAACACACATTAATACCGTTTCTGAATGAATCAGTGTAATTGATCGAGTTGGTTTGTTAAATGATTTTTCCCAAAGAAAAACTGCAGTGCTTTACAAATATAGGACAGGATGAGCTAAATAAACTTATCACTGCATCTAAACCAACAACATGCCTATTAGATCCTGTACCCACTAAATTACTACAAGAGTTGTTACCTGTAACAGAAGAACCACTTCTCAATATTATTAACTCATCGTTATCTTTAGGTCACGTCCCAAAACCATTCAAGCTGGCGGTTATTAAGCCTCTTATTAAGAAATCATAACTAGATCCTAATGAACTGGCAAATTACAGACCCATTTCAAATCTTCCGCTTATGTCTAAAATTTTAGAAAAAGTTGTGTCTGCTCAATTGTGCTCCTTCTTGCAAAAAAAATTATCTCTATGAAGAATTTCATTTAAATTTAATTTAAATTACAAATGACTTTCTTCTTGCATCAGACCAAGGCTTCATTTCATTGCTAGTTTTACTTGATCTTAGTGCTGCATTCGACACTATAGGATGCAAACCCCTCAGAGGACCTCAGATGATGCCAACCCTGAAACAACATAAACTACCAAATTTTGCTACAAGTTTGATTGCAACATACAATCATTGCTGTTAATAGTGTTCATCGTCTGTTTGATTACATCATTAACTGAATTTTACCGTACATTTCTGCCATATGTACATCAATTTGACAGTCACCACTGACAAGCTACTACTAAATAAATTGTAGAAACTTAATTTTCTGTAAAGCTGCTTTGCAACGATTTGTATCGTGAAAAGCGCTATACAAATAAACTTGAATTGAATTCACTGTGGTTTGTTGCTGAACAAATCAGTATTTTTGAATCAATCAAATGATTCACCAGGCAAATGATTCACCAAGTGTGTTCCAGAATGAATCACTGTTGAGTCAGTCAAATGAATTACTTAAGGGAATGAATCAATGATTCACTCATAAAGACAGTCACATTTTGCCACTAAAAGCCCCGTAATGATCGACTAACATTCTGAATATTTAGAGAACGTGTTCCCCTCAATGTTTATAGTAAGCAACTGCCACTATTATTTTCCTTCAATAAATCACACATTTTTGGACAATGTACTGATTGAGTCCTCTACAACGTGCTAGAGAATTGATACATCTATTGAAAGTCATCCACAACACATTGTAGGTACTGATATCGAGAAAAAATATTTTTAGTTGTTTTTGGATGTATATTTAGGCACAGTTGAAGCTTATTCAAAACTTGAGTGGTCAACAATATTTCTCTTTATCAAACGATCATGTCTCGTGCACTACACGAGGCGAACTTGAAATCTTTTCTCTTTCGATGAAGTGTTAAAAAGAACAAGCAGGCCTTTGATAAGGTGCCAGCGACCCCTCACATGACGCAGCAGTTGAAATAGGGACAGATACTATTCATATGCCTGATACTTTACGCTGCCTCAGGCCAGAACTGCACTCACATGAACAGCTATGCATTAAGGCACACTTGTTTGTGATAAATGGGGTATTCAGGGGACCAATGACATACTTTTAGTTCAGACGCAGCATGTCATTAGAGAGTCTAGGCCGTTTTTTTAGGATTAAGCATGATAAAGCAGAACATTGCAATTAGGACACGTCTCTATTTTCAGCGAGAGACTGAAAGAGTGACTTCTAATGGTTTATTTTTAGACTTTAAGACATCACATCTGGTTTGTGGTCTTTTGGGGCCATCCTTTGTTAGAGATACATTTCCAAAAAAGCACCAAAGTCAGTCAAAATAGCATTTTTTTTAATTTTCCACCTATTTCACTTGTCGTCCCAAAAAGATCATGATGTGCAAATGCAGCATCTTAATGGGTACATATGAAGCCTGTCCATAGACCACACTGTAGTTGCCAGATTTATTATTATTATACTTCCAGTTCAGATTATACCAAACATGTTTCCATGGTAACTTCTCAATCAATCTTTTCATTCAGATCATTTATCAACCTTGTGTTCAAACACAAAAAAATCTGATTTAAGCCACATTATTTTAGTATGAAGGTGAACTTCTGAAAACATCTGGAGAAACATTTCCAGGTGAATTTCACCAAGGTCAAATTCCAAAATGAAAATTGGGGAAAAAACAAGAAATTATATTGTGCAAAAATAAACAATGGCATTTTTTGTGGACAATTATGAGTTTTTTTGTGTATTCTCATTGCTCAATAAGTTCTCATTACTCAATAAAAAAGAAAGGAAAAAGAGAAAATTTTATAATTATAATAATAAAAATAAAAAATATAATAAGTTATATATATTAATATATTGATTGATTGATATTTATTTATTTCTGCATTTATTTATTTAGAAGACTAATGACAGAAAAATTATATATATATATGACAAGACAACTGCGTGTGTGTGTGTGTGTATATATACATACCCTTGGAATGGGGACTTTGGAGTGAGCAGGGCACGTGCGTGCCATTATGTAGTCACCGTGCTGCGTTGTTACAGGAATATCCCAACTGAAGATAATGAGGACTCAACCAATTTGAATCGTCACATATTTGAATCGATTTTCAACCGGCTCGCAGTTAATCGTTACATCCCTAATCAATATATTATTAAAATCAACAAAAAGTCTAGATTTCCTTAAAGGCACAATATGTAAGTTTTTGCTGCTATGAAGGAGAATGGAACGATGGGAGATGTCGTTTTCACCATCATGGAATTCACGAATCATGTTCACGGATGAGGTAATTAATTTTTTTATTACCTGTATGTTCCACAGTTATTCAAACAGCGAAGAAATTATACAAAAGCAAGCAAAGAACATTTACATTGTCACAGAACATTATAACTGACTTCAGTCTAGCGTGAGTTTAAGCACTCTCAAAAAACTCCCCTTATAATCATTAAAGCCGCCTATACACTGTTTGATGAATGAATCTCTTACTTGCATCATACGTACATCTGCACTGTGCTGTTTATGATGAGAGAATTCGCGAGAGGAGAATTCAGTCAGCGCGCACACGGAACATAAACTCCGGCGTTTCAGCAATGACTCATCTGAACGCCTCTGATTGGCCATTGTATTCATAAGATCAACAGACTCGTGAGTGATTGGTTATAATGCGCAATACTGTAAAAACGCATAAAAAGAATCACAATGCAACATTTGGCAGATCTAAATTTAATGTTGCAGTCAACACTTTTCATTTCAGCCATAATGGATTTAGTTTACCTGTGCAGCGGCATTTTTGTCCATGCTTGTAGAAACTGAGGATAGCGCGGATATTACATCACTGATAGGCAACAATTGACCATGGACAAGCCATTATTTAAATTTGGAATTTCTCTGGATTTACAAATACATAACTTTTAGGATAATGTAAGTACAGAACTCCATGAAATATATTACACTGAGCAAGTTGTTTTTGGATATTTTATTACTAAAATCTTACATACTGTGCCTTTTAATTATTATTGTTTATATTGTTCTTTTGCTATTAGGGTGAAATACAATGAAACATTTCTTTACCATTTTAATAATATTCACTATGCTTTTGTAAACCTTTTTCTCATGTTTAGACAGAAAGAACCTGAGAGAAAGTGGACGTATACCTTTTTTATATCTGATTCCCGAGCCCTCGCCCTCCTCCTCTCTCTTCCTGCAGCTGAGCTCAAACATGTTGACTGACACACTGGAGCGGATCTCTTTCTGCGCCAGCTCCATTCGATCATAGAAGACCTTGAAGAACTTCTCAGACTTCTTCTGCTTGTGCAGCTGATTGTAGAAAGAGTTCTGCAGGGAGACATGCAGAAAATGACTAGAGATCGACGATGAGTGTTACCTTGGCTTTATTTGAAAAAATATGATTCCCAATGCACACAAACTTCCCAGAATACTGAGTGCTCTGTTGGTTACAGTTTACTTCTTTTTTAATGATATTTTTATTAAATATTTATTTATTTGTGGAAAATACTTTGTCATCTAAAGTATAATTATGTTTATTTTACAAATTTATTTTTAATCCATTTTCAAATGATTTCAAATTTCTTAAATATTAATTAAAATAAATACAATTATATCGGCTTTATATCGGCCACCCTGCTTTCCAAGATATCGGCAGTCAAAAAACCATTATCGGTCGACCATTAAAAATTACATCACCTGAATCTTACAGATGTCCCGTTGTGAATGTGTGTCCTGTTTATACCTGAATCTGTGTATTTCCTCCTCTCAGGAGTGCAATGCCCAGTAAAATGCTCTCCTCAAAGATACGGTCGTTCTTAGTGCTGACGATGAGGTCGATGACCAGCTCGGATGCTCCAACGTTGTCCAGAGCACACTGGATGTCTACTACACTAGTGCCTGGCTTATCAGAGTCCTGTCCTGGAGAACCACCTATGTACACACACAGAACACTGTTGAGTCAGGTATGAGATGAGCAGAAGTTGGGCGAGGGGATGTATATGGTGAGCCAACAGTGCTTCTGCTGATGGTCATTTATGAGACGTACCTCCAGAGGAAGAGCTGTTCCCGCCACTGTACTCCAGGGCTTTGGCGTGGGGCCGATGGCTGCCAAAGTAGTGTGTAAGGAGACTCTTCCTCAGTGTGTTACCCTGAGGAGACCAGAGAGGAAGGCAGTTGGGTCATCCTTTAGAGTGGATTTTTCAGAGATGAAAATGTTTTCAAATATTCATGAAACCTCATTCAGAAAGGCATTATTCTATAACTTAAAATATTAAAATATAATTGAAAAATTAGAAATGGTTTGAAACTACAGTATATTTTGCACATTAAAATGAACCATAACTTGCAGCTGCCTATATAAGATGTCTGATAAAATAAAAAATACACACAACAATTTTAAAAAATTGGCATCAAAAAGTTTTTTTTTCCTTTTTTAAGCTAGGATGCATTCAGTTGATCAAAAGTGACAGTAAAGACATTTATGATGAAAAAGAAAAAACATAAATGTGTATTTTAAATAAATGCTGTTCTTTTAAACTTTCTATTTAAATAATCCAGAAAAAACACATCACTGTTTCTACTAAAATACTGTTTTCAAGGACATTTCATTTAAAACTAAATAAATGGCTGCTGAAAATTCAGCTTTGCCATCAGAGAAATAAATTACATTTTAAAATATATTTTTTCTATAATTTTAGATTGCATATTTTGTTGTTTTAATGTTAAATTTTAATAATATTGCACAATATTACTGTATTTTTGATCAAGTAAATGTTGTCTTGCTGAGCATAAGAGACTTATAATAATAATAATATTTAAAACAATCTAAAAAAAAATTTTTGGAGACCATCTTAGAAAATTAATCTTTTATGAATTTATCACTAACATTACAACTAGGGATGCACCGATACCACTTTTTCCAGTACTAGCCCGATACCGTCGCGCATCTGCGCCGCCGCACGCTCAATCCACTCAGCGTGCTTTGTTTATCAGCTCGCGCACATCAGCTATACAGGCGTTAATACTGAATGTTTAACGTTATATTCATTGCATACATATGCTTCGTAGTAGACATCCTTAACTGTTGTTCTGTTGTCGGCGTTTCTTTGTCTGAATATGGCGCTTATCACATGCTGTGTGGTATCGTCGTTTGGTATCGGGGCATTTTAACGAGTACAAGAGCTCAGTATCGGGCCCGATACCGATACCAGTATCGGTATCGGTGCATCCCTAATTACAACCCTAGCTCCACTTGTAAAAAAACAAACAAAAAAAACACTGAGGCGGCAGAAAATTAACACAGAAAATAATAACCGTAATTAATATAATAAAATATAGCTGAACCCATAACATTCCTTAATTTATTATTATTTTGTAATTAAAAAAGCCATTTTTTGACAACCTAGTGCAAAGATTCATAGCGGACTGTGTGAAGTGGTGAGTACTTCATTTCCTGTCCGTTTTGATTCTCTTCACACTTTTGAGTGTTTTCCACCCAACTGTGTTGGATAAAAACACACACTCGCATGGGAGAACTTTTACATAACTAGTAGAAACTGTAGTAATTGCTGTAATTATGCCAGAAGTGTAGCGAAACCTCGGGGAGGCAGAGGGTGAGACGGCGAGTGCTGAAGGTAGAGAGCAGACGGCTGCCTTGAAAATCTGTTTCCCAGTGGGAGAGAAACTGAACGTGTGAAAAAGACAGAGGATGGCGGGGAGAGAGCGAGATAGATTAACACAGAGAGAGAGAGAGCGAGAGTTATGTAACACCTGGTGGCGGCTTGCTGAGAGATCACGAGGAAGACACGGTAGAGGGAGCGGGATGGTACTGATCGTCTCTCCCATCTTCTGTCTCCTGGCCAAATGTTCTCTCTTTTCTATGTATCCTTCCTGTCTGTCTCATTTTCTTGCTTTTATACATCTGGCTAGGGATAGTTCCAGCTATTTTTGAGACTGACAGAGAAAGACTGCATTCATGCAGTCAGTGTTTGGGATTGACAAACATATTTACCAACAGGTGTAACTCTCCAATTGTCCTGTTCATTCAACAGCTTGCGAGAGCGGGTCAAAAAGCATTTGTATGAAGGAATAGCGAAGTCAAGCACATCTTGCAAAGGCTGTTAATAACAGCTGTAACTATAGTGACAGTCACTAAAAGAAATATCAAAGACGGCCACTTTTATTACACCAGAAAGTCTTCACAACTGACATGACATTTCATGAAGGAATCTTAAATAATATTAAATAAAAGATAAAATAAAAAAATAACATGAAATAGGGACATAACAATTAAAAACAAAAAGGAATATAAAATAAAATCCATAAGTAATAAAATGGTTCAAATAAAAATGTAATAAAATACTACTAAAAATTAATAACTGATAATAATATTGATAACTAAAATAACAATTAAATAATATTAACTAAAATAATATTATTATTTTATTTTATTATTGACAAACATTAAAAATAAAATAAAATCAAAACAATAAAATATTTTTTTTAAATAAAAAAATATAAAATAAAATAACAAATATGACAAAATAATAATAAAGTAAAAGGTACAATTAAAATATAAAATAAAAGTGGCATAAAAATAAATAAAAACAAAAAGGAATATAAAATAAAAACCATAAGAAAATGGTTCAAATAAAAATTTTAATAAATTAATAAAATACAATAAAAATAAAAACAAAAAAAAATTAATAACTGAAATATTAGTTTTATTTTATTATTGACAACAGTGTTGGGTGTAACTAATTACTAAGTAATTAGTTACTGTAATTTAATTACTTTTCCCTTGATAAAGTAAAGTAAGGGATTACTCATTTTTTCTGTAATTTAATTACAGTTACTTCTTATGTAATTGAACTTAATACTGTATAGACTGTAGAACATTTATATACAATACAGTAGTGGATGTAACATAAAAATTTAAAGTCTAACATTAAAATGCATGATTTTATGTACCTTTTTTTTGTATTTTTATGTGAGTTAATAAGAATATTGGTAACATTTAAGTGTCCAATTATCACTTTTAACTAGTTGGTAATTAGCATGAATATTACCGGGATATTGGCTGTTAATTATTACTTAAAAAAACACATATTAATGTCTTATTCTGCAAGACCTTATTCTAAATCTTTAATCCTACCCAATTCCTACACAATACTTAAACTTAACAACTACATTACTAAGTATTAATAAGCAGTAATTGGAGTATACTGAGGCAAAAGTAATAGTTAATAGTTAGTTAATAGTGAGAATTGGACTCTAATCTAAAGTCTGTTGAAAATAATTAGTAATAAGTAATTCTGTACAGTAATCTAATTACACTGTTGAAGATGTAATTAGTAACTAGTAATTAATTACTTTTTTAGAGTAACTTACCGAACACTGATTGACAAACATTAAAAAATAAAAAAAAATAAAAATAAAAACAATTAAATAAAAAATGTAAAAATTAATAAAACAAATAATAAAATAAACAAAAAAATCGAATTAAAATATAAAATAGAATAGTGACATAAATAAATAAAAACTAAAAGGAATATAAAATAAAAACTAGGGATGCACCGATACCACTTTTTCCAGTACTCGCCCGATACCGATACTTTTATTTTTGGTACTT